TAACACTTGGTGAGGAAAACTACTTTCATTTACTCTGCGCAGCTCACCTGCAGCAATGGATATGCAAAGGCTTAACTCATGCACATAAAGACACACAGTGCAAGCAAAGCAGCAAAACAACATATTCTACTTATCAAAAATTTGTGAGGGAAGAAAGAGGGTTTCCTTCAAATTATACAGTTGTGCAGTGCTGAATTAGCTATGTTTAGCTGTGGATTAATAGCAGGGTATTCAATACTGAAGATATACCCAGAAAAAGATGAAATTCAGTACTTCTTCATTTTAATTGAGAGCTGAGGCACTGAACTTAGGAAAAGTAGCTGAATGCAAGGACAGCCTTTGCTAGTCACCTTTGTAAGAATGAGAGCAGTAAGAGACATTAAAAAACTGATTTGTGAGAAATTTGTACTAATTCTCTTTTTGACTCACAGACAATTTCATTGGAACTCTTTCACTATTACTAAACAAAACTGAGTGTCTTTAACATGGGCAGAGAAACAAAAATATGGACCAACCAAGAAGAAAGTTAAACTGGCACTGAGTGCCTCAGCTCCACTTATTAACTTCATCACCAAAACGCATGACTAGGGCCTGCACTGACTCACAAAACGTGTGAAAAGAGGTTCCTCAGTTGAACATGTCCACAGAACTTCATTAACTCTCCTGATCCCAGAACAGTAGGATCTAAGCCAATATATTCTGCAACAATTTCCTTTCCAGCTAGTACCTCTGCCTGCACTGACTCTGCCATGTACACTCCAGGATGCTGGTGAGCATAAGTCTGGTGAAAAATTTCTAGATAATAGAGAAATAATGGTAATATCTGCCTACCTTTTCTTTTTTCTTTTTTTTTTTTTTTTTAATGCCTGCATTTTATGTGACTACAGAGTTTTCAAACAGCTATATCATAACAGTCTGTCGCAAGTGTATTGGGTGTTTCAGTTTGCCAGACCTGTCATAATAAATTAAATACAGGATGTTGCAGAAGTGGCTGAGTTCCAGCAGCATCTTGCACAGTTTAATATAGACCTATTTCCCCATTTCGATGTATTTGTGGTTAGATAAATCCTCAGAAAATTTACAGCTGCTACACACAAGTTTATTATACTCCCTGCCTTTGCAGGCTATGTAAGTGCAATAAAAATTTGATGTCTGCTCAGAGCATAGATTTTACTGATATTGTTTTACCGGTGTGGAAACATTTTTCCGCTAAAAGTGACATCTGCAGTTTGTGTTGATTACTTGCATTTGAGCATTACACAGGACTTGTAAACTTGTTTTCCACAGTGCAAATTCATTTGGCTTGACAAAGTTCTCAAAAAAAAAAATAAATGAGATGCACGTAGTTTTACCTGAAATGCAGAGTTAACATTTTCCCCTATGGGTGGAAGATAGAAAATATTTTTCCAGCCTTTAAAGTTAGTGTAAACTAATGTATAAATTGCAGCTACGATGTTGCGACTCAAAGCCTAATCCTTGCTGACATTGCTGGAGCTTTTAGTATAGGGATCCATCTACCCTGAGCAGCTTGCAGGAGTGGGACTCAACATATACATCACACTGCTGAAAAACAGACCCTTCTGAAGAGGAAGGCAGCAAGTGATAAGCATACAACAGACTCAACAAAAGACAAAACTTTTGCCAAAAACACTGTGAGCAGAATACTTCCACACTTAACAAAAGGATTGTACGATATTTAATGTTAAAACAGCAGCTTGATGCTCGGTGTGAAGTTCCAATCTCTGCTCTAGCTGTTCTGCACCAGATGAAAAAGCTGGAGAGGTCTGAATCAAGGCAGAGGTGCCTATTGCAACAGACAACAACTAAAAAGGTGCCCTCTGAAGACCTATGCCAGAAGTTAGGGAATGAAAGCTTCATCTATCCCAACAGCTCTTCAAGCCATAGACTATATGGACCTTTTGGGCTGTAGCTCAGAGTTAAAACACTACTGAGGTAAGAGTTACCGGAGAGACACAGAATATTCCTCATGGGTTCTGAGAGTTCATCCAAAAAGCTTCTGTTAATGGTACAAAACAAGTGTTTAAAAAAGTGAAGTGGTTAAATATTCTAATTTCTAAAGTCTAAAAACCATGACTGAAGCAACCCAAGCTCTGCTATAATGCACCTATACATTATCTTCTGTTCCTTCTTCTTGAGTTCCAATTTCTAATTGCTACATTTTTGCAAGTCTTCCTCAGGCAGCACCTTTCTTCTCAAATTGCTTATTTCCCCTCTCTCAGAACTCCTCCTGTTTCTACTCCCTATGCATAGCAGTTTTGTTCCTAATGCACGTATTCTAAACTCCAAGCAATAAAACTCCTGGAACTAACACAGCATAGTTTTAGAAGTGTAGGTGTACATCCACAAAATAATTTGTAAAAAATATTCTCTTTGGCCATTGGACAAAATACTAAGGGAAAAACTCCAGAGTACCAGCCTCTGGACATAAATCTTCCTGGCCTCCCTCCACTATTCATAAAATACTTCTATCCCCTCCCAATCTCCACATCCATAAAATAGGTTGCACTGCATACATACTAATTTCATACGTGCTAGAAAAAGATCATTAAAAAACCCCACCAGTCTTTGTGTTTACCAAACAAGTGTTTTTGCTTTAGTCTGTTCCCGCCTTAAACAAAGTATTTCCTATTCACCTGAGTAATTAGAGCAGAAGGATGTAGTGAATGAAGTGCCTCATTATCAAGTTTGTATCCACAGTCTCTGCAGAATGGCTACCATGCCGGCTATTTTTCATAGCTGTCTGCTTTTGCTTGTAATGGGCCATTGTTAACCCTAAATGATCCTGACATTCAATTCTCCATCAGACAATCGCGTCCAGCCGGCAGATTTAGTTCACTAGTCAACAGAGACTTTCGGTTGTCATGTTTCTCTGTGTTCTCATTAGCCCTTGTTTGACTGTGATCCATCCCCTACTGCCTTCTGAATTAAGTGATGCTACAAATACACTTATTGTGTTTTATGATGTCTGTTCCTCAAATTATTTTAAGGAAAAAACTAAATGCAATTTGATGGCTATTGGGAAACACAGGAAAAATGTGTCCTCCATTTGCTTCTGTTTTGCTGATTTATGCGTTGTTCTCAATGTCTCTGCCATATCATAAAAATGTAACAGCAACTGTATGTTGTAACCACACACACAAAACCTAGAAACACCACAACAATGAAAGACCTACTAGACAGTTAAAAATATCTAATATTTAGCCTTTTTTAAAGAACATATTATCTGTTTTGCTCCAGTAATGAACTTGGGTAACCCTCTAAGAATGCATCACAGAGACTTTTAGAACTCTTGTATTTTAATTCACACATCATGGCTGAGGGAACAATTTTACAGGGCACTCATACAGTTCTTCATCTAAAAAAAAAGGAAAATTTTCAGTAGGCAATCTAAACCCCTCTGGAATTCTTTTCTTCACTGAAATTTAAGTCCTTTAAATACTTGGACAATATTCAACATATGTACATGATATTAACTGTAAAGTGATTTTAAGAAATATGTAGACTGCATTAACACAGAAACAAGAAGCATTATATAAAGTTTTTAAATTAAAAATCTATTTTTAAACCACTACCCTAATACAAAATTTTTAAAAATTGTATCCTCTTTTGTGAGTTTAAAATCCCAATAGCAATGTCTGAAGAATAAAGAATCTACTAACATCAGAAAGCAGTTTTTCTTAAAGTGAATGTATCAGCCATATTTCTGAATGAAAGTTAAAAGCTGCCTTTGCCATTGTGCCATGCTAATAATTTGTTAGATTTTAGGCTGAAGGTTCTAATTTTAATACTGAAGAATCATAGACTTTTTCAAAATTTCAGATATTTTTGTTCCTTTTCTGTTAAATGAATGCAGAAGAGTAACACCACAGTGACATGGTAAAAAGGAATAGAAGTCCCTAACCAACCATGTGGTAGGGAGGAAAAAAAATTATAAAAGCAAAACAAAAGCTATTGCAATTACAAGTAAACATCATGAAAAGTTTATTTTCAACTCTTGCATTTTCATGTTTGGCTCTTATCTGATTCCTTCTGCTTAATTGTTATTTGGAACTGTGCCTTGGAAGGCACTACTGCTGCTTCTCCTCTCAATTTGGAAAGTGTGGCAAAGCAGCTCTATTCAGCTTCAGAGCAGTGAACATAATTGGAGCCCTAGTTCGCAAGCATGAAAGGAGGTGCTGTGCCTTTGATTAGAACTACCATTTCTCTGTGGTGTTTATCTGAAGTGTTATTTCTGTCTTCAGTGTTGACAATGCCAAATTAACATTTTACAATGCTTTCCAATGAGCTCCCAGATCTTGGCTGCTGCTCAGCTCTCCCTGACGTGGAGCCTGATGTCACTCTGCCCTTATTTTAAACGTGACCCAGGACATTTTAAGAAATGTAAAATGTTGAGATTTTTCTCCTTTATAAAATCTTTAAATCCCACACATCACACAGGATGGTGAGTTGAAATACATTGCAAAGGCTGAGAGATAAGAGGCAAAGAGCCCTGCTAGAATCAGGCAGTCCCAGGATTAACATAATTTTACACTATCTCTGACTGAGGAAAGAGACATTACTAAGTTTCCAGTACCATATAAGCAAGCTCCATTTAGGAGTGGACTCCATACACATACGGTAGGCAAAGCAAAGTTAGGATTGCTAGCAAATATCAGCTACTAGTGGGGAGAAAAAAGAGTATTTGCTGCTGTGCTTTACTTGAAAGAATAAAGTTTATAGATTTTTCTGGCTTTCAAATGTGCAAGAAAGTTATTACAATATACAGCAACTAGTCCTCTGCATCTGGGTGCATTTCACACATCAGTGCCCAACATTGTTATTCTCACTTCTTTTTTTAATGGAATCAAGTGCCCTGTCTACTAAATAAGGACTTTCTAATTTTATGTTATTTATTGCTTCAGAGAGAGAGGAGGAAGAATTTCCTAGCAGAGTAAAAATAAACTGGACATCATCAGCCAGAAAAAAATACCAAGACTAACTGCTAGAAAGTATTTCATTTAATATAAAACATAAATTATTTAATACCATAGATAATTAGTGAAGTCATCAGTAAAAGTTCACAAAATAATACTCAAGTAAAAAAATAGATTAATGACAAGTGAATAAGGACTACTAGTAAAACAAACAGCATAGCTGGATATGAAATATTTCATTCAGACAAAAACAAAGTATCTTTGGCAAGACTGCTGCCAAAGCAGTCAGGAACTCTGACAAAACTCCAATGAATCTTCACTATGTGCAGAAAACCTCATCTGAAAACTGTAACTGCCTGGAATTTGCAACACTTATTTACTTTGATAAGAATGAGTAGTCCTACTGAAGACAGTGTAGTTACATAGGTTAATTCCCTTCAGAGCTGCAAAATGCAGTCCAAGTGAGTATTTGATGTCAGAAAAATATTTTTAAAAAGCTTACGTTTTCAAGTACATAATGTCAGCACTTCTTTGGAATTTTACCACTCTGAACACTCTTCTATTTTACTTACAACGCATTTTAGAATGCTAATTTAATAACATATGTAGTGGTTGAGCTTGTTTTGCTCTAGATCACACTTTTTCACTTGATTCTCTGCTCACAGTGGATTGACCTACAGCCTACAGAAATGCCTAAGTGAAAGTTTCATCAGATATTAAATTAGGAAATGTTGTATTTGACAGTTTCAGTTTTTTTCCAGTCCAGTGAGGAGCTGAACCTCACTGTTGATTTCAAGGACAAAAGTCACCCAAAGCAGGTTAACACCATCAGTAAGTCACAACAGGTGGCATTTTGCATATTTAAGTATTTTAATTTCTTTGTTTGTTGTTAATCCTAGAAGAGAGACCGTAATTGGAGCCTTCAATGTGTGTAATGAAATACACACAGTATTCAGAAATAAATTATGACTATACATCCTGGCATTCAGGCTCAAAGGCAGTATTTGTCTTTCCATTTGTGCTTAAGTTTGAGCCTCTCACTGCCTTTTTCTTCTTCTTCTTCAATTCCACCCCATGGGATGTAGGTTCATTTTCAACACCATTAGCTGTAACTGATGATAGAGGAGTATCGAGACTCATTAAGTTGTGCTGATTTTCCCTCTCATTCCTCTGTATCCTTTTCTTCTTTTTCTTTGTACCTCTAGAGGAAGGTGGATATAAAAAGAGTAAAAGAAACACAAAGTTAGCCCAAATTTAGAGCTTTTTCCATCCACAGCTGATGTGTTAGAGCAATTGTCTGCCTGTCCCCTTGAACACAATGCTGAAACAACTACAAAAACTACTGTTCCACAGCAGAACAAAGAAAGAAAAACCATGAAGACAAAATACGAGAGCACTCCACCAGTCTACTTTATCATAGCATTGCCTTGAAAAGAACTCCCCATGATCTTAAAAATCAGCTTGCCTTGATCAACAGTAAACAGATGTAATTAAAAAATACAAATTACTAGTCTCCTCCTCTCATAAAAGCAATTGGAGTTTTTTTTTTTTTTACTTTCCTAAGCTCAGACATCAAAATACTTGTAATTAAAGAGAGATTCCTGGCTTATTTATTCAACAAGAATAAGACAGGCAGGCAAAGTGCATAAGATTAGTTTTTTGCATTTTAATTTACTTGAATGAGGACAGATTTACAGAATCAAAAATAACTTGAATGTCTATTTATGCTTATCAGACTTCATACAATGCCAAAAGCATCAACCAAGCTCCTGCATCTTTCCCAGTTAATGCCTTTAACTAGTCTTGTGCATGATGCCAGGGATTTTGCAATGTCACACCACTTCTACCATGAATTTCCACTCTTGGCAGAAGTTGTAACTTTATTTAGCTGTAAATACATAACAATACTTCAACTATAACCTTTCAAAGGCAGGTACTGTCTTTGTTCAAAATCTGTATTGTGTCTAGCAACAGACAACTGTTATGTTGAATGCTTCTGAAACACATAAGAAAATGGATGAATCAAGACTGAGGAATGTAATGTGTGCTGTTTCCCCAAAAAGGGTGCTGCAAGTGCTCTACTGTTGGTGTTACTGTCCTAATGTAATCAGATTTTATACATGAAAATGTTTACACATCAGCCTTGCTAATGAACTGATGACTATCTGCCTATAGTTTGAATTTTTTTAAAAACTAAATTGTATATTTATGAATAAGTGGATTGGTGCAGCTCTAGTACTGGAACATCTTAAAGAAAAGGTTCTGGAGTTTAAGACCTTCTGTGTTACGATTTCTAGAATAACTGGAGAAGTACTGCAGCATAAGGAAACTGCGGAATAAAAATCATAATTTTTCAGTAATATAAATACCAGTGTACCAAACTGAGTGTTCAGCTGGGTCTTGTGTAAATTCATGCAGAGAGTACTACAAAACTGTGCAGTTCAACAGAACTGTATAATAGGAATATATCTAAGGAGATAATGTCTGTATTGACAAGTAGTATCTAATCATAAATATTCAAAGGGTGAGGTTACTATGCTGGTTTCCAATGTAAAGGTACTCTAATTTTGAGAAGCAGTTTTCATCTTTTTATTATTTGAACATCAGATACAATGATGTATCAAAACAAGACACTTAGATTGAAACCACTGAGCATCTATTATATGGACGTTTCTCTGTATCTTCCAGAGTCTGCAGAAGATAGGTTAACTGCTTGGCTAAGATAAAAGTCTACTACCATCTTGTATAAAATTTAGCTTTCCTATTGCAAAACCTTAATTCCCATCCAGAAATTCTCAAAGACAGACATGTCTTAAGCACTTTCCATTCATTTTCTTTTACAGCAGGTATCGTGGCCAAAATGAATACTGTTCTAATAAGGCAAAACAACAATCATTCATTTGGCATACTGAGTTGTGCAGGTGTTTACAGTTTCACTTCTCCATATTGAAAGCATGTACTAGGCAATTACATCTCACTTGATTCTTATGAAGTTTATTTACTATATAATTCCTATCATATACATAGATGTGACATGGATATTAAGGTATTTTCACAGAAAACAGAAGAATAACTACGTTTTAGGTGGAGCAACTATTTAAATACAGGTTGGACTGGACCTCAAGTCATGTTGATACTGCTGTTAGATGCTAAAATAGAAAACTTTTCCAGTTAAGATGGCAATACTAGCACGCATGTGTTTTTTTAAGAATATTTCAGACACATCAACTGCAGTAAGCAAGAAAACTACAGCTCTGTCACAGCCCCTGCAGGCCATGTTTTTGATAACAATGAAGTGAGAGTTTTCATGAAAAATAGGCAGCCATGTTTCTGAGATGTTTTATTATCGGATCTGTCCTGTATAAACAGAAACATGTGAGATCTGTCAAACTAGTAGCACCAGCAATGTCAGAGGATCCTTCTCTCTTTTAGCTCTCAAAATAAGGCAAAAGCTTGTAGTCTTTTCTGAAAGAAACTTGGTACACACAGTCACTGCTATGAAGTACTATGACATGGAGCATGCATGAATTCAGACTGTAGTTCAGGAGGAGGAGCACATTTCAGTGACTGAGGCATGTAGGTGTCTTCTCTCATCTTTCCTAAATGTAACTGAAGTGGTTTTGGGGCTCTATTTCTTCAGTGTGACCTCTTTGTCAGGACAGTCTTAGTTTCCACTAAAATGAACATTTCACATTGACTCAAAATTCTTGACTCAAAATTCTTGAATTTGCTTAAATTATTTGTGATTCCACATTTTAATTTAGCAACCACGGTGGTAGTGGATCAAGGGTTGGACTTGATGATCTCAGAGGTCCCTTCCAACCCAGCTGATTCTATGATTCTATGATTAATCTGCAATGGCACATTTTTCAGTGGATGCCCTGGAAAGTTCACTCAAAATAGTTGTTTCCTGAAGTTCTACTACGGAGTTGAGTCATACCAAATTTTTGATACTGACTTCTAACAGACTGTATTAACCATCACAGTAACTATGCTTTTAAGGCATTTCCTTCCTTAATGTATATACTATCAGAATAGTTATGCCCAAAATTCAACACTAAATTCTGTCAATGTGTAGTTATACAGCCCATTCCTCATCATACATGAGGGTTAAACTTTCCACTCATACCTTATTTTCAAACCTAGATACAGACAGAGATATAAAATTAAAATTTAAAAGCAGGCTAAAATCAGATATGTATCTGCATCTACAGCATATATGCACAGATTATTTATATGGGGAGGGGACCAGTCTGGAAAACAATGAGTGAAATAACTTTTCTTAGGTGACAGATATAATGGAAAAACACAGGAAGTATTTTCAAATACACTTTTGGAAGTACAAATGGTTATAATAGCTAAAGATATTGTGGAAGCTCTTATTTAAAACACTGAGATCTTATCTGCTTACAGCTTTCATGCAATGAACAGATATGATTTTTAAAAAATACAAGTGTCACCATCAAAGACGTTGGTTTGCACCTTCTTAGAATGTGACAATCTCTCGCAATTCACATTAATTAATTTTTAGAAGGTGCAAAAATAGTTTAAAGTTTGTAGCAATAAATCCTAATACATAGCTAAGGCATGCCAGCGGATAGCCCCATATCCTGAGTCATATCCCTGAGTTTTGATTGCCATATACATTATAGCCCTTGCTCTTTTGGGGATAGAGTGTGTATGCACATCTGTGTGTGCAGATATACATGAACTGTAACTTATTTCACATTTCGAGTGTGAAGCACGCTCTCACTGATAATCCTAAAGCTAATTCTTGTTTTGCTTGATAAAACAAAATAAGCCTTCCAACGTTTTCATAGTTTTCAAACAGCAGTTGTAGAAAAAACACTGCAAATTGTTTTAAGTTATTTCTTGCTTACTGTGTTGCAGGTGAGTCTCTATCTGTGTCACGCTTGGAGACAAATTTTAGGTCCCCTGACTTACTGATGACTGGTGACATCTGTGAAAGAAAAAAAAAAAGGCAGGAAGGTAAAAAGAAGACAGACAAGAGGGCCAACACATGTGCATAGAAAACCCACCAGCTTCCTGAATAAGGAGAGAATATACCTCGTTTGAAAAAGAATGTCTATCAGCCATAAAATGTTAACTCCTATGTGGTTACAAACAAGGAAACAGTACCCTGCTATAAAAAAAAGCTACTTGCAAATAAAAGACAGTCTTCAGGTATGTGTAGAAACAGATGGTTATGAATCTGCTTGAAATCGGCTTAAAATACACATGGTCTGTAAAGAATGAAGTTATTTCTGCTCCTACAAGATTAAAAGCACAATGCTAAAAGGACACCTTATTGCAGAGTTTTAACAAGATAAACCTGTGGGTTTTTTAAGCCTGCAAGTTTAACTCAAAAGCAGTTGAAATCACTCCAGGTTACTTTATAATTCAGGGCTAGGAAGACCCCCCAAATCTGGAAAAGTTTAAGTGAATTCTCTCATTTCCACCCTAATTAGTGGGTCTCTATACAGCTTACTCCCTCTACAAACAAAGCTCTTCTAAGTCTAACAGGTCTCACAGTTACTGCAAGAATTCCCATAAGGAAATGCGAGTGCCCTTCCTGAGTCTTCAGGGACAGATTATTTTATTGGTTTAATATTTTTCTGCTGACTGGGAATAAACAGAATCAAGCTCTCATTGACTTACTGAATTCATATAAGCACACTGCCCACAACAACCATGTTCAAAGGTTAGTCATTAGAATTAGTCTGCTGAAAAAACACAGATTGCTGGAATAGTTTAGACAAAAGTCAGTCTATTAGAATACAATAACTAGCTGAGCTAGGAAGAAAAATCATGTACTTCACACACACAATCCTTGTTAATACAGTAATAAACTTGAGACTAAGTCAATGGTAAAAGTAAACACAAAAGAAGGAAATATAATGCCACTGATATGAAAATACAAAGGAGTGTTGTAAAGGGAATGACTCCAAGTAATTAATACTTCCTTCAGCACTTACAGCCTTGTGGTTCCCTGCCATACACAATTGTGAATTCACTTAGCTTGCAGTCAAAACAAAATCTTTTTCTGAAAATCCTGTGTGAATGATGTTGGACCATCTTTTAACCCTCTTTTTTGAGTAAATATTACAGAATCTCCTCACTGTACTAATACTATAATCAAATATAAACCTTTCCAAAGAACAGTGAGGTAGAATTCTCTGAAGCGCTACTATAGAAGACTGACCTCTTATAAAACTAGACTAAGGTTTTTAACACTTTCAGACACATAAACACAGAAAATTATACCTGTTTTACAGTTAGAAGATTAAAGTATCCACTAAATTAATGTACCTAAGTGAAAATTCTTACGATCAAAAAAACCTCATCACATAGGCTTTACATATTAAAGCACAGCTCTTTAGTATAAGTATCAAGGAAAGAAAAGCATACAACTGGAGACATTCCACTAGCTATGTTCTCCACACATGGCAACTGATGAGAATTCCTAGGGTCTGTAGAGAATGACTCCCAATTCTCCACAGTAGTGTTTGAGTATGATAGGTTTCTTACCTCATTCCTACAAACTTTAAAGCATGTAATGAAGCAGGAACTAGGTACTAGATCTTTTTGAAGCAGATCTCACTGCTGCTACCTTCTTTTGTCTACACCACATACTTTTGTGTCCCTCTTAACCTATTCCTTGAACTACTTTTCCCATCCTAGGGATGTAAGAAGTAACTACTGAAGGAACAAGAGGGATCAGCAGCAGATCCAAGGAGCTGGTGCAGGAGCTGGTGAAACAAGGGGATGAAACAGCAAGAGGAGCACAGCAGCGTAAATGGAGGCTGGAAAAATAGGCAGGAGGTATTTGGCTCAGGAGGTGGTGGTAACATTTACATGCTGAGAATTCACTGAGGACATATCAACGTAAGCAGCAAGCCAGAGAAGGCTAGAGTTTGGAGGAGCTGAAGAGGCTGTTGATCTCATCTTTGTCCATTTTGAAACCTCTCGACCACTTGTTATACACAGGCAGATCTCCAAGGAAGCTCCAAACAGCTCTGCACTATTGTCACTATGTCTGTACTAAGATTCAGTAAACCTAGCATTGGACCAGATATGGTATTAGTTATTACATTCATCCAAATTGCAGATCTTAAATATTAATACAGAATTATTAGGGCAGTGTTTGTTTTAAAGAGAAACACCCTAATATTTGATACTTATGCATATTTTTCTGTTCGCAAGAACAAATACTAAACATAGTACAAAAAATTAGCTCCTTTGTAGAGTGCCACTAATGGTGTTCTATTTTGTTGCCATGTTCTAATTCTCTATACTTTGAGAGATACAATCCACCAGAAGGAGAAGAGAACATCAGTTCATATCAACTGTAGAAGCTTGGATTTTCTGAAGTTTCCTTTGCTTTGTTTATGATCATAAAAATTGTAACACAATACGTATTTTCCTTTTCTAAAAGGCTTGCTTGCTTTACAGCACATTTTCTTTTTATACTTACTATTCTCTGTGATGCCACACAAGAAGCAACCAAGGTAATACAAGTAAAGGCAAAATACACAAAAGTATATCAAGTTCCTAAACCCTGCTGTAGAATCCACACCAGTAAGTCAAGCACTAAACCCTCCCTGTGCAACGCATGGAAACAATCAGATATATCAGAACATACTTCCTAGCAGAACCTGCAGCAGAGGACATCTAAAGGAAATACCAGTGACAAAGTCTCATCCCAAGTTTACATCTTTGGCAGTACTTTAGGCTGTGCAGAGCTGTCACTAAGACTGATGGTCTGCAGAGGTTCTCTGACAGACTAAGAGGTAGATGGACAGAATGGAGTGGTGCAGAAGATCTATTCAGGTGATCCAAGCCATGACAGCAAATGAGCTTGCTCTATATAGCCTACTGTGCAGAGAGGAACTCTCCCATAAAAGCTGTTTCTACAGAACTTGATCTAATAAAAGATTCACTGGATCAGAGATGGCAAGAAAGAACATGTCTCTCTGCCTTTTCAGACTAGTCTTTCAGACTCAGTATTCAGTTTTTATTTTGTTTTCTATTACACAGTCCATGGATAAAAGACTCATAGTTGTGTGTTTAACTCCTCAGAACTCTGTTGATGCCTCCTGACAAAACTGTTGTAACAAGTCAAGTTTGAGAGAGATGTGGTGGCACCACACTCATAATTTTCTTTCTTGCTATTCCGCACCCGTCCACACACTTCCCGATTAAATGAACAACTGGTAGGGATCTTTGCTAGCAGAATTACATATATTTCTTTTGCCAAGACTTTCCTATTTAAAATGCAATTAACTTATAATTGCTTTTTTCCCCTTTCTAGCATTTTTAAGAACAATTCTATCTAAATCAGATTGACCGTGTTCTAACCCTTATGTCTAACAGTATTAACTTAGTTGTGATCATCTAGTGGAACAATGGCTCTGTATACCACAGACATTGGCATGGATTTCTATCTTCTGCACAAAAGGAAAAATCTGGTGGGTGAAAACTGTAAACATGGCTTGACGAATACTGTATGTCAGAAATCAAATCCACAAGATGAGTATTTGAGGGACAACAAAAGAAGGAGGAGGAAGGGTGGAGACAAGATACTTCAGACTGAAGCAGTATGGTTTAGAGCAGTTGTTTTCAGTCTTGAAGTCTTGGCCTTTGGGAATTTATCTGTGGTCACAGCTTTGCCTAAGATTTGCATAAAAATAGTTTAATTCTCTTCAGAAAGAGGCTATGAGGACCCAAGGAGAAAATGTGGGGAAGAGAGAAGTTAGCTTGCTAGTGAGAGCTATCTTAGTAATATGCGTCCCTCAACAGTACTTTTGATTCTGTTTGACCAGTTCAGTGGCTCAGCCTGATTCTTCCTACGTTTAAACAGACTGGGCACTTACAGTAAATGACTATTTAATATCTTCTTTTTTTCCCCCTAACAGATAATTATTTGCTTATAAACCAGATACCTTCTCTTTCTTAAATACTATAGACAGAGGCATAAACATTTTTTGAGACACAACACATAGCTACCAGCTTACAAACAAAGTAGTAACACACATGCTTAAGAAAGCGAAATTCATCTTGCAGGTGCAGCCAACACACTGGAGGGAAGGGATGACATCCAGAGGGACCTTAAGAGGTGGGCTGATGTAAACCTCATGAAGTTCAACAAAGAGAAGTCTAGGTTCTATAAACAGGTCATGGCAAATCCTCGACACACCTATATGTTGAGTGGAGAAGTGGATTGAGTTGAGAGTAGCCCTGTAGAGAAAGACTTGGGGGTGATGGTTGATGAAAAACTCAACATGAGCTGGCAGTGTGTGCTCACAGCCCAGAAAGCCAACCGTGTCCTGGGCTGCATCAAAAGGAACACAGCCAGCAGGTTCAAAGAGATGATTCTCCCCCTCTACTCTGCTCTATTCCAACCCCTTAGCATTCTATGATTCTATAACTCTAATTTGAACAGTAAAAACTGCAATTTAAAGGGAAAACAGAACACCAAGAAATAGGAAACTGCAGAACTCAAAAGCTGAAATATGTTAATGTTGGGTAACCTTTCAGAAAAATGGCCCATTCCTCATAAGATAGTGCCACAGTAACATTTCCTTCAAAAGAAGGATTTCTTAAAGAATAATCAAAGTCATTACTACTTTGAAAGTAGGATTTGTAAAGATATATCTATTTCATAATGCCATTCAACAATTTATGTGGAAGACTACACAGCAGCTTTGCAGACCAATTCTAGAAAAGCATAGTTTCTTTCAGCCTAGACATCAATACTTTCAGAAAGAGAGATCTGTAATCATATTAGCAATGAATGAAGCCCAGACTTACAAACCTCACTATAATACATTCTAATTCAATTGAATATCGCTTTTTTAATAGCTGCAACCTCTCTGAACCTTGAAAATGAACACACTTCGCGATGTGTCGAAAGTCTTCAGCTCTATTCACTGAAAGAGTTTCATTGTATTAATTTCTCAGTGTTTCCCTCATTACCATAATCACATCTTCCTATTCCCTCCTCCTCTTCCTAAAAGATAATCAGTCACTGAAGTGTTTCCCAATAAACTGAAGAAAGGCATCATTATAGAAAATAGAAACCGCACAAACTCTAAAATAAAAGTTTTTGATTACGCTAATAGAAAAATTTCTAGCTACTATTTTTGGAAAGGAAGAGCAAATTTTCTATGCTTTTTAAAGTTTTAGATTTAATAAAAAAAATTTTGAGCCCACAAAAACATACATACAGAAGGAGCTCAAGCCCAGGGGAAAACCGTCAGTAGCTTGGCAAGTTAGTTTCAGACATAGTGGGCTAAATATTCACAAAGTGCGACAACAACCTTCTCTAGGGGAAGAAGAGTGAGAGCATGAACTATTTATGTGAACAGTGATAATCCCAAACTTTATTTAAATATACATGGAATCAAGTTGTGATGATCTTTGGGCAGATTATCCAAATCGTGCAATAATGTGGTTTTTGACAGCAACCCTTTTGATGCTTATGACCATTATTTTACATCTTGGTATCATTTTTCAAAGATAATTATACTAGAAAGACTATTTTCTTACACTTTTAAAGTAAATTTTAAATTAAATTAAATTTTGTTTTTGTCTATTACTACTTCCTACTATTTTCATATAATGTGGAATTGCATACTTAATATTTAGAATGCATTTTATGTAGTGAGTGGTAGGCCACCTTAAAATTATGAAACATGTTCCCAAGATTTTATAGACAACAGAAAATTTCTAGTTAAAAACCCCCTATACTATCAACTTTGAAATGCTTCTAATTTGCCAAAATTTTGCAAAACCCACATTCTTGTTTCTAATAGAACCCTATGTGAATTCCTGTCCTTTCCACTTTCATCTTAAGGAACCTGGAAACAGTACATTTACTGGAGCAGTCAGATGATAAGTCTGTCTTTATTTCTTGGAATTCTTCATCAGTGCAGCGACACCTTCACTCCATGAAATTTCTATTGGCAGTTTAGAGGTATGTTGCAATTAAAGATGATTATGACCTAATTTTGTGGCACAGGAGTTAAGTAACTCATAAGGCAGGAAAACAAGGTTTGCATAAAATTATTATGTTACGAATGCAAAGCTGATGGTAGAAAGAATTTTGAAAGCAAGTCCTTTGAACTACAGCCTTTTTTTTAATTATTTGCAAAGACTAATATTGGATCTTGAGTATTACACCCTCTTCTAATGTTAATAATTCCACTTTATTCACTCATAAAGCTCTGATGATTAGCTAGATATGCATTTGTTATATCTGCAGTTGGAAAACTATTTTTAATTAGACTATCTGGTATTCTCAGTAATTAAAACCATAGTCATATTCAACATTTTAAGTGCCCTATTTAATCTTCTGTGGTAGTAAAATCTTACAGGTAATTTCTATAATGATTTTCACAGTAACTGTTTTGCAGGCTTAACAGAGCTAAATATTTGAGCAATCCTTCAAAAAACCCAGAAAGAATAATATAGCAGACCTAGGTATAACTAAATATTAGGGAAAACATGCTTGTGGACAAAAACAAAACACAACCAAAGAATGAATTATATTTTCCTGCTTGTGGTAACAACTTAAACAAAAACTTAATTATTAATTAAAATATATTTGGATTAAAAAAGAAACAAAAAACCCCAACCAAACAAAACACATAGGTATTACAAAGTAATGATTTTTCTTATTTCCCATGTAAAAGAAATTGGTATTTCCTTTTATCAGGTTTTATACTGAAAAAAAATGTAAGGAATAGGAAGAAAAGTTGCTGTGTCACTACTGCAAGACAGGAACTGCCATAACTGATCAGCCCCCTCAGTGGTCACCTTAGCAGCTTTGTCTCAGAAGTATCCAGTATTGCCTAAAGCCAAAGCACTGTAGAACTTTCATTCATGCTGACAAACATTTATGACAATTTGTTTCTTCTAAGCAGAACTGTTGCTTTTGTAAACCCACTACACCTTCAAGGCATCACAAATTTTACAGAGGTTAGATTCATAATTTGATTCAACTGTCTTATCTTTTTGATGATTTATTTGGTGTTGATGTGACTTGAAATTTAAAAATCAGTCAGATTTGCATTTCCCATTCATTCAGATGCTTTTTGGAATTTCAGCCTTTACCTCAGCCTAAAATGCGTTATTAAAGCAATTAATCTCTGAGCACACACATTTAAATAGTGTCTTGTAGTAGGTTTATCAAGGTAACTACACACGGCATAAACAAAAATTTCCTTCTAGTAATTAGATGTGCTCCATTCCAGATTAACGTTCCCTGATCTTTTTTAACAGCAGAAGGAAAAGAAAAATAAAAGAAAGAAGAGTGTATCCAATTCACATCAGGTACTACTTTATATACTCTCTCCACTTGTAAGTATATCCTCTTATATAATTTTTTCCAGGACTTGTAAATGTTTCATAACTTTCCTCTGGGCTCTTCACGATTTTGTAGTGCCCTCAGCTGCTGCACAAGATAAAAAGCAACGTATCTGCTTTGTTTTGGACAGTCATTGTACATTTGCCTCATTGTATCTTTTGAATTTCTATGTGTACTATATAGACTACTACAAAATTCCAACTAATTATTAAATATGTAGTCAATTTAACTCAAAGTACAAGTAGAATCCAAGTCAAGAGTATTTCAATTAAATATTATTAAAACCAAGTGTTAGTAAAAAAGTACTCTAGTAATACAAAAACTAGTGTTAGAAAAATGTCAACCACAGACACTTGAAAAATTATAAGCAATCAGAACTAATCAAACATTGCTTCTCACAAAGCTGAATAACAAGTACTAGTTGCAAATGTTAGTAACATTAGTGCACATAAAAGTATTTTTATGCGGTAAATTGACTAGATTTCTACTAGATAAAAACAGAAAAAAAGATGTGGATAACAATGATCAAGTCTAATAACAACAGGTGTCTTAGCACTTTTTTCTAATCTGAGTACAAGTGAAACTGGATGATTACAGCAACATATTCCCTCTGGAATACCTTCCTTGCCTCTAGCAACATAGACAACAAATGAAAGAAATCTTCAGTAACATAATTTTTCCCATATTTGTCAGAGTCTGCCTTTACTGTCAGTACCTGGAAATAATGCACCCTTGTCTCTCCTGGACAATGGTTTGGCTATGAGTTTCTCAGCTATAACGACGTAAAAGATACTTCAGATAAATTATTACTACTCGGTGCAGTGATTAATTCCATTTTTCAAGTAAAGTTAGAGACAAAACACTTAGTAATTCGATTTATAGCAGTTGGCTTCCAGAAAACTGCCAAATGAGTAATCTGTACTCAATAATTTATTAAATGCTAACTCTCTCTATTCACCTACTAAAAACAGAAGCTACACAAAAAAGGTTAATAGAAACTGCATTGAGTATTTTAACCTTGAACATTGCAATGTCTTTTCCAACCTAAACAGTCCCATACTTAGATAGATCATCTGGAAAAAAAAAATCCCCAAAATTGTAACAAAGTAACACAGAGTAGTTTTGAGTCTTGCAAATCAGACATAAAATATTAGATTCAATTTTAGAAAAGTACGTGGAAAAGTCAAATAATCTGAAAGAAATCTGAACAAAACTCACTTTTAAGTAGTTATGTTAGTAACACGAATAAATGAATAGTTGTGAAAACTACACTTATTAAGGATACAAACATTTTGAAATTAAAATTCCTTAAATTTTAAGAGTTATTGACCTAATTTTTATCTTTTTTTTTTTCTTACAAATTATCCCATGTTGTAAAACAAACATCAGTCTTATTTCACAAAAGGGATACAAGCTATGCAAAGTTTCTAATCTCCTTCTAGTGAAGTGAGAATCAACTGGCCTGCTTTGCACATAGTGGAATCTCTAAAGCTCAGAAAAGAAAACCCTAATAAAAATCAAATGCTCAATTTTTCTTGGACTAAAAACCAGGTCCTGCTTCTTTGTTCTTCTGCACATATTGTATTTTAACTAAAATCACAGAAACAGGAATGCTTATGCACACAGTATAGTGTGTGGTATGTAACCAACAACATAATGCCATATGCAATCGCAACCCAGTATAAGTATATGGGGGAAGTGGAGAGATAGTAGATAGTGTCGAGGCAAAAGCCTTTATTACATTTGCTCCTCCAAACTACGAAGTCTCTATAGTTCACCCTCCTAAGCAACATACAGGATAGGTGCAGCCACTCATATCAGAGACCCATCAGCAGCTTTTAAACAGAAAGAGCCACCGACAAGTAAGCACATTTAGATGCAGTATATCTCCTCATATGGTATAAAGGTTTCATGATCACATTGCGTATCTTTAATTAGGATATTACAAGAACTGGAAAACTCCCAAGAGAAAAACATCCCAGCTCTTTCCTAAGCAACCCCACAGATAAGGAAATTTCATGGTTGAAAATCTGAAGAATATGTGGGCAATGCATATTCCAAGAATGACAGTCAAGCACCTGAAATTATGTCAGGTTTTGACAAATCCATATTGTTTCCTCAACCATGATTTACATCAGGTAGCTGTAAGAGATACTTCTGTAAACCTTGGAGTCAATGGAGATTTGCCCCTCATTACAATGGTGTAAGTAAGCAGAATATTTAATTGCCAAATGACAGAACAGCTGATTCCACACAAGACGAACATTAGACTGCTGCTGAAAATCTACCTGCTTGCCTGGAACGAGGTCTACACATAAGAAATTCTTACAAAAAAGATAAAAAATTAATACAGTCCATGTGTACACAAGAGATACAATATAACACTACTTACAGAATATTTCCTTCTCAAATTGTTACCTTATCTAATGTCAGAGAACCTTCCTCTGCTTCTGTTGGTCCTTCTGGTAGGAGAGGAGCAGAATCTGATACTAATTCTGAAGGTTGTTCTTCATACTCTTCTGAAAAGAGGAACCATAATTCGCCATTATGAGAGACATGAAAGAATTTATGTGAACCACCATGACATTACGATCTAGTCAAAAACAGATGTGAACTGAAACAGGTAAAAAATGTTTGAAGCCAAACATTGTATGAGAATTTATTAAATTTTTCCCATAAACTTCTATTCATATTAGTAAGCTTAGATTTAAATGGTTATTCTATAAAATAAAAGCATTCAAACATTTACCTAAGAACCAAGTCCATACTGACAGCAATGCAGCTGACACTTAATAAATGTATCATATGCATTTCTTTTGATTCAATAATAAGATGATTCGATCACCAACTGAAATAACACATCTACCAGAGATTTTTTTGCACAGCTAGACAACTGCCTCCAAAATTTTGGTTTGTTTTTTTTTTAACAACATATTCTTAAGGCGATCACTGAAGACTCTTCCTACAGACTTCTCTCTGGGTTATTTTGCAAGGAAGAAAGGCTGGAGAAAATCCACAAGATGTGCAAGGAGAGTACAAAGGGAAAGGGCAGAAGTAATTCTAATTATCCTCAAGTGAGCATAGTGTTATATCCAAGTCTTTTTTAGGAAAGAGGCTTAAATTTCACTTAAAAGACAGAGGGAGGAACTAGAAAATGGGGGAAAACATCTTGAGAAATGTTGAGTCAAAGGATTTCTAAACACCAGCATAACTGATAGTTTGATAGTTTAGGATGGCAAATGAATTTCTTGTACTATGCAACCACATGCTGTGTCCACAAGCTGAATACTAACAACTATCAACACACTGAGCATCTTTAGAGCAGTTGACTAAGTAGGATGCTTCCTATATTATTTGTTCAGATTCATTTAGGTTTGTCTGTATCAGTTTAGTCAAAACTGTTTTAATAACAAGTACCTGGCTGCAAGTTCAATGCTCAGATATGAGATTTAACCATGACTGTTCTTTTAAAACTTCATACTGAAATCCACTTATTTGGGAACTGAACATTCTCCAGTACGGAAGGGGGAAAACTAAGAGGTTTTACAAAAGCTAGATCTAGTGGAGATTGCCTAAGAAAAAACTAAGATGTTTGTAGAATGCTTTGATGTGTCCTAAATCATTAACAAGGTAGGGCATGAACCAGGCTGCTATATGTAAGAAGAGACAAGGAATCAATCCAGCTGACAGATAATTAAGTCAGTACTGTATTAGCTGGAATGTTTAACCAAGAGCATACCTTCCTAAGTCAGGTATGTCAACTTGCTAAGTGGTTAGCTATACAGTTTTTGCACCACAGTAAGTCATCATTATGCCATGTGTGTACTACACGAATTCCTATCTTCAGAACAATAGCAGTACAGCACAGTAAAATCTTGGACCATCAGTTAAACCCACACCGGTATACCAGGAAGACAGCAGTAAACTTACTTTCACCAGCCACATAATTAGCTGGAAAATAGCCTTGCTGTCCATTTGCTAGGCTGCCAAACCACCAGTTATCATTATCTTTGTATAACACTTGGATAATGTCACTGCGATGGATGGTTAGCTCATCTGATCGATGCGCTGTGTAGTCATAAAGAGCCACTACCTAAAAGAGAGATAAGAGCACCACAGCTTTATCACAACCATGCCACAGAGAAAAAAGCGCAACATTCACTTCCTCTTGCAGAAAAGCAGCTGAAACCAAAGCTGCACTTTGGTAAAAGCTGAGGCTGCCTCAAGTTTTGCTAATGGGATCAGGGGTGGTGGGAAAGCAGCAGGAGAGGCAAGATAAAGGACTGTGGGATTGCAGAAATGGTTAAGAACATTCAATTCACTAAGATTAGCTTCAAAACAGCAGCTGTTAGTTTTATAAGCAATTTGCTTGTGAAGCAAAAGGAAAAAAAACTTCATACATTCAGTTTCTCAGAATTGTTACACCACCTTCAGATCCCATTCTCTGTGTGCTCATGAAGCATATGTGTTTGAATAAATACTTCAACAGTATGATAGTTTTATCGAAGGAAAAATTTAATACAAAAAGAGATTGCAAAGTTTTGCTTTGATCACTCAATTTTTTTTTCTTTCTTTTTTTCTTTGTTTTGCTTAAAAATAAGGGTTTGGATACACAAATATCTTTTAAATATTTTAAAAATACATTTAAATTCCATTTCACATAATAAATCCATTTGACATACAGTGCACCTATACTTTTATGAAAAAGAATACTAATAGTCATCAGCATCATGCATACTACATAAAATACATTACCAGAAGCCTGCTTTCTACCCTGAATATGAAAATATCAAGTACAATTTCTGATTTATTTCCTATACCCTATGAACAAAAATCTGTCCTGGTGAACTCCAAGCAGAAAAGCTTGAAAAGAAAACAAATGAACCGAAACAATAAGGGAATTGCTCACTTTCCTCATCATAAGTGAGGAGCAAAATTATGACCTATTTTAGACACAGAATGCTGCTTCCCTACCTATAATTTTCATCTCAGATTCCTCTAAAAAATTGTAAGTAAAGAGGTCAAAGACGGGGATTGTTAGGAGCAATAGGAGGTTTAAGGGGACTGAAGGAGATAGCAAAGTATGACGATACGGATTTGAAGGAAAAAGACCCTCTTTATTACTCATGCATGCATTTAAATATTAAGACTGCTGAACTGCACAATGCTTTTATATTTGTATTTCTACTTAGAGTAAGATCACCTGTGAGTTATATGTGTAAAAATATAGACAATGTCACTTGTATTTTCATAATTCCATGTCATCAATTAAACAGATCATATCAGTTATAAATGGGAAAAGATGGAAATGATTCCACTGATTCCATTATACCATTTTAAATTTTATGTGGCAATTTTTGAGCTGGTGAGTATCAGAAATTAGTATCAGCATAGTTCTCACTAAACAGGAAATTTATCTAAATATGAATTCAAATGTCCTGAACTTACATAAAGAAGTTAAACAATGAAATAACCCTTACCATAACTCTCCTCCCTGCATACAGTAATTATAGGTGGTCTTGACAATATAGAAATATGAACTGTAGCACAGAAGCAAACTAAACCACACTAATGAGCACCGTGATCATGTCCAGTAAGAGGTGCTCTAATAGTGCCCACTTCAGTTAAGTGACGACCTCATGAAAACCATGAGGTCACTTAAGGTAAAAAAAAAACCAAACACCAAAAACCAAACCCAAAAAGGAACATAGGAATGTAACACTAATTACTTGGTAGCATGAAAAACAATGAAAGGCAGAGCTACAATTACTTCATCTTGTAGTGACTTTTTTAAGATAGTTCTGGTGTAAATGTTATGTTTTTTTTGAAAATATTACAAAAATTCACTGCTACAAACAGTTCAAACCAATCAAGCAAGTCCCACTGTTTGTCTCTCAGAAATAAGAAATTAATAAACCAACGTGTCCTGTAATACAAATGGTTTAGTAGGCTGACAATATAAATGAAATGTGGAAATTGCCATTATATTCTCTGGAGACATGTGATCAGAAAAATGACCATGACGGGATAAAGGAAATGCACCTCAGAACCAAAGAAGAATGTAAACTACTTACAATTATGCCTAAAGCATTGGACTTTCTTCTAGTGTGACATTCAAACATTTGTCAAGTTCTGCCTGTGTCCGAGTCCAAGTGAAAAATAAAAAATTCTATGTTCAACAAAATTTTACAAGATTGTTCTTCAAGAGTGATATAAACCCAGCATTAATGTAGTTATGCCAGTTATGAACATCTTTGTAAGAATTACAAAATCTATGGGAGCAAAAAAAATCCTTGGGATTTCATGCTACAAAAAAGGGAACATGCTTTCAAAAGCACAGATACAGTATAACAGGTATAGAAAACACTGCAAAAAATTACATAATACTTACTGTCTCTTGCACGAGTGGACAACTGCCTCCTCCTCCCACTCCCAATGCTGTCAGGTTGTCATCATTCTAGAAGAATAAATTATGTTGAAACTTTAATATGAAGTATCTCGCTAAACTATGAGTATTTTCATGTCTACTAAGATGATAAGAATTATCTGTAATAAAATGCTCTTTTTAAAAAAGTAAAAGCAGAAGTGATGTTAAGCAACACTGAGTAATATTGGCAATTGGTTGGTAGATATTTAAAAAGATACCAAGTTTTTCAAGTATGTAAACTGCACTAAAGACAACTGGACTGGTGACTATGCAGTCCCATCTTGTTTGCATTGCAAATACAGTAGATATTTAAGAAGTTGTTGCAGTGAACTTTACCTGTGAACCAGTACGTAAAAGATGTCACTTCTATATAATGGAAATTTCAGGTTGGTCTTAATAACCAAAACTTTCCATTTAATTCTAGTTGTTCTGTCTTTACCACTCACTCTTCAGACTTCCAACAAATTCAAAAGAATAGTAGATATATAATGCAATAATCAGGATATGCCTGTACCAAAAAATTTTATTTCTGTCAAACAACAGAATGTTTCAGTTGAAAGGAGATATATTATAGAAAAATTAAGAAAATTAGCAGAGTAACAACAAACTAGAAAAAAAAGGAAGAGCCGGTAGTCCTTTGCTGGTATTAATTTTTTTCAGTGGTCGATCTTCACAAAGGGGAAGCCAGTTTCCCCTAGATTTTGTATGTCTCAAAGGATATACACTACAGTACAGAATAGAAATATTACAGAGCAATTAAAGACATTTTAGAAGAGAAAAATCAAATGTGAGATTTGTGAAGTAAACATTTCTACCTCTAACAGTTATACCGCTTTATAAACACTTAAATTTGAAAACTTTTATCCACTATACTTCACCTTTTTCATATTTTACAGCCACTCCTTAAACTAACTTTTACATGAACTTCTTTCTCTTCTCTTGCTTTTTAAAAAAATGTATCTAAAATATAGTGGTCCTTTTATTTTCAGTAGGGTTTTTTATTTTTTATCAGCATGGTTCAAGGAATGTCATTACATATTACAAAGAAAATCACTGAAAATCCTCAGTAGAATAAATGGTATTCTCAAGAACAGAGATCCGTACCCTCAATGTTGTCTTCATAACTTAGTTAGGTTTATCCTATATGGAAAATAAATCACTGACTATCCTGAGGTTCCACCCAGTCTCCAGATTGCTTCAGAGCTGCCACAGTAGTTACAGACACATACAGTATATACAGATGAACACAGTGTAAAAGTGAACAGTTGTACTCAATTCTCATCATCTAAACCTACCACCTAAAGAGTTCTGAGTAATTATGTACATGCACAGAAGGAAGAAAAAAAAGTGTAACTGCCTGATTTGATAAACAAATTTTGAACAAAGACTGGTGGAGCTGCAGTTCAGAGTATGTGGCTTGTTCAGTGGTCTACTGGTAGTTAGCACTGCTGTACAGGTTTCAGCTAATTCTCATTTTCCATTCTCAAGGTTAAGAGAACTGTACAGGCAATGTGCTTAGCCTGTGGGATGGGAGTGCCTCCTGTTGCTCAAAAATGATTCATCAGAATTATTAGCAGTATTATTTAGATATCTAGTTCAGGTATTCATATTGCCCCATTATTGTGTCTCAATCTGTGTCTCTCTCTTTCTCTCTTTTTAATAAAGTATTTATGTGGCTCTCAAACACTCAACTCAAGAAGAGCTTGAAGAGAGTGAGCTGTTTGGAAATAACAAGCTAAAATCCATGAGTCACCCTGTGATGACGTTGAATATTCTCAGACACTGCCTTAAACTTTTAAGCAACAACAATCCATAGAGGTGCCTCTTAAAGAGATAGATACTCTGAGTATGTCACTGGCTACACACAGCTCTACCTCTACCTGTCAACTGCCACAGCTGGGATTCAAAGAAATCAAACTCAATTATCATTACATGACCCCTTTTCAGCTGCCTACCATAAATGTAGCTACTACAAGGCAGAAGAGCTGCCTCTTCCATGCCATGCCATTCCTCAAATAGTGCCAACTACCAGTTACACTGCAAGAAACACCCAGCTAAAACTACTGGCCTTTCAGCTTAGAAACATAATTTTTTACATGTTGTGTCACAAGATTAAGGCACATTTTCAGGATTCCAAAAAAGCAACAGACATACTGTAATGTATGAATACATAATTCTTAACAGAGACATATTAATGTCTCCTTTTTTTTTCATGCAGGATGGAAACTAGATAATCCTTTTTTTGCATTGGAACAGATGTGGGGCTATAGCCATCTTCCAAGGAGTTGGTCTTTTTGGGAGGCAGACATCTGTGAGAAACAGAAACTAAATCCTTGCTGAAAAAGTCTGCCATGCCATACTGATTTTGATTGAACAAAGCTGTTAGGAGCTTTCAGCATTAAAGGAACATCCTCAGAGGAAGATAAATAGATCCAGTCATTCATGCAGAGTTCTAGACCATGGAGTATCACACTGGTTATCCATGACTAACCCACTTAGATACCCTTGTAATTTCTAACTCAAAACCAAACAAAAATGTTTAAAGACACTAATACAAAAGAGAACATTGCACTGTTCTATCAAGTGTTACCAATTCCTGATAATACACTAATTAAAATGTTTATGGCTTCTTTTTAATTGGGCAGTTTCAGTGATTGTGCTAATGGAGGTTTTGCTTTCTTGAGGCAGATGTATAGCAGCCAACAGGATTTGGGCATTAGGTATCCCTCATCTTCTTAGGAGAAGGAGCACTGAGTAAGAACAAGTGATCAGTTGTTACTGTCTTTTCAGTAAAAGTCTCAGCATTTCATTTGTCCTACTGAACCAATATATTTCAATTACCACATTATCAAAGTTTAAAGAAAAAATATGGAAACATGTAAAGTGTAATGATGTTTCCATGTTTTTACCTTATAGGTAAAACATATTCTTCATTGTAAAAGAATAAACATATAGATTAAGTACCACTTCTAAGAGTTAGTCATTACCTCTTAATAACAACACTTCAAAAATAAGCTTTTCTAAGACTAATTTTAGGCGACACTACACATACCAATGGGAACCCTAACGTTTATGCATACAGGGCCAAAGCCACCCTCTCTCCTTTTCCCATTAGTGACAGACTCAGTGACGTGAAGAAGGACAAACATCTATTTCCTGAATGTTGCACAGCACCACTACTTCACTCCACCTCCCTATACCCGCCATCTGCCAGAATGGAAGAGAAACTGGGAATATTACTTATACAAATAGTCCAGTAAACACACAAAGAATGTGTGTTACAGCTTCTCTTGCCTATTCAGTAAATCTGTGCCTCAGTGTGTAATAGTCCAGGTTCTAAGACTGTTACCTTTCCAGGTTTTTTTGTTGCTGCTTTTGGTTTATGGTGGCTTCTTCATTTGTTTTTTTTTTTTAAAGAAGACAAAATGAGAAATTAACTTACACAGCTTGATTGAAAACTCTTGGTTACCTTAAAAGATAATATTTAAAACATTTAAAAATCTTACAGAATAGTCCTGAGGTTTTACTGTTGCTACATTGTCTTCCTTTTTTCTTAAGAAGGGTTAGAAATTCAAAGAGTTAATTAAGTAAAATTCTATCTCCTCTCCTAAAAATGCCATGTAATCTCTTTACTGCAGTAATTGAAGTTTTAAATTAAATGCTAAATAAGCTGAGACTTAGAAGAAAACAGACGAATACTGTCAGCACTATCATATTTCTGTTCTTGTTCTTTGGTCCAATGCATTCTTTTTCCCATTAGTGACACCTAACTACAAATTTAGTCTATGGGAAACAGAAGTACAAGTATTTGTACTTCTGGTAAATAAAAATTTTTCCAAAAGTATCAATTGCTAAGAATTATATATTCTTCTTCGGTAGTAATTAATCTGTCCATAGAAACTTTAAAGTTACTTCCTTACACTTCAGATGACTACAGTCCTGATTTGATCACAGTGTTTTAATATTTAATAAGCATGGGAATCTATAATCTGCCTTGAGGAAAAAAGAACCTGCAGCAGACTGCACTTTATTGAAACCTGCAACATACAAACAGAAATAAGAAACGCAAACACAGCTGCTGCAGTAAAGCCTACAGGGATAAAAAAAGAAAAAAGGAAAAGGAAGAAAAGATCAGTTCAGAAGCATGTGAAATACTCCAGCTCCTGAAATTATTTAAAACCTCTTCAACTATTTCACCATTTCTAAATATGCTACTTTTTTGGTATTAATTACTCGGTTAACCTGCACTTACATATATATTACTGCATTTATAATAGGAGAAACAACAAATATATTCAATATTCAATGTTCAAATATAACCCCTAATTTAGCCCTCTCAGAAAAAACTATTTTAAATTAGCTGCTATTTAGCACCTCACAAAAGAGCTGATCCTGTAAATGTTTATCAAGCTTGCTGTGGTGGAGAGCACTAATGTACTGGTTGAACAATTTATAATTTTCCCTAAAAATATATATATTGATGGCAAAAAATTTAAAGTGTGAAAACAAGAACTATTTAACCACTAACAAAACAGCAACGTAAAACCACACTTTCAAATTCCTTGGTGAATCCTACTTAGTTTACAAGCCTTCCACAACTGTATTAACAGATTCTGTTAAATAAGGTAGGATCAAAAAAATCCTAAACCAATCCAAATTGTAAAACAGCTATACATGATCAAAGTTAAATTGTGTCCATTTATAATATTTCTCTCAAAAATTACAAGTAGCGCAATTACAACGGAATAATAAACCATGGCATTCTGTTCATGAGTGCAGGAGGATTAACATCTCTAGTACAAGAGGCTCAGCTTCATAGAGATACAAATGCATTCAGTATTCAGAAGCACCACTTGTTCTTCTGTCACTAGTTCCTCCATACATTTTGTGTTTAATACAGGTTTATCAAATGTAAAGTTGGAATTAATGGCATTTACAGATTCTGTTGAATTTTTATTATGGTGATCAGGAAACCAGAAATAAACAAAGGAACAAATATAATCAGTAGAAGTTTACAATCAATATTTAATAGATAAGCAGTTAAATAAGCAAGAGAATATCTGTGATTTCACTTGTTACAAAAAGATGAAGTATGAAACAGTAAACAACAAAAACATGGTGCTACAAATAGAATTTCATTCCCAGTAACTGTCTCAGCTTTCTTTTGCTGTTTATGAATGCCTTCTTTCTCAGCAACAATAAAAAACTCGAGTGTGATTTTAGCTTATTTATTTCTAAACAACAAAAAGTAAATAATGAAAAAAATATAAAGCTTTTGATTTTCTGATATCTGATCTTCCTACCAGCTGGCTGCAGCATAAGCTAATTTGCCTATGTAGACAACTGGCTTGAAGATACCTCTTTTTTTAATAAAGACAGGATAAAAAAAACCACCTCTCTACAATGAGAAATTGTGAATAATGACATTTTATAGTTAAACATCAATTTAAAAAAAATGCAAAAAGAGAATTCCATACCATCTGCAGTCTACCCAATAGTGTTCGGCTAAGAGGATTTCCTACTGGGCTGAAACACCCTGTGAAAAGAAAAGGCTGTGAATTTTCTGCTTGTTATCCTTTTCCATCGAATAAACCATTTTATTTTAAAATCATTATGTTAGCAGGATATGTTTGACAAAATTCTAATGAAAAGCAGCAGCATCTTTCAGTCACAACTATGCAACCTTCAGTCAGGAACAGTTGGAGGATTTATTTAACTAACAGACCTGACACAAGGTTAACTAATCCAATATTTCCATTCAAATGATTTGGAGAAGTAGCTCAAGCTATGTCCACATGCCATCTCATGCTCAAAGCTGACACTATTATCTAGGCTGTATTGCTTTACTCTTCATTGAATTTCTGAGTAATGCATACAAAGTTTTCCAACAGAAATGATCACAAAAACTCACAAAGGAATTACTTCCTTATTTTATCTGAAAGAATAACTATGTCTATTCAGTAGTTCCTTTTGATCATCTGAGTTCCTATCACAACACATCTTGCTGTTTATTTTATTCACTCTCTACAGAGCACACTTGAACAAGTACTTGTAAATTCTTTTCAAACTATTATGTTAACTACTAAGCTCAAGAAAATCCTTTCATCATCTATGGATTTATCTTTTTGTTATTGGTCTCCTCAGCTATATACTTAAGAAAACATCTTAAAAAGAAAAGATACAAAAAAATCTGAAAATCGTTGAACATGACAGTGAAATATGCTACTGCTTCACTGGAGAATCGTTTCTCAAGCACAGAAATGCCAGGCAACACAGAGTTAAGCTCACTGGATTTTCTCTGTGAGACACTAGCTTTCAAACAAGTTTTGTTTTCAAAGAGGAATAAATTCTGAAAACTCATTTTCATTTGCCACACCAAAAGCCTGCTGTCCAGTATCTGAATAAAGAGTACTTTTCAGATTCAGATTCCCATGCACTGGCACAACTCCACAAGGAAGCTTGCACAACTTCACCTACAGTATCCTTTCTAAAGCCTAGTGGTTTTGACTTTCACAGGAGATTTACTCATAAATGCTTAATCATTAAGATATTTATATATTTCTAGCTAGAATAAAAGCTGCAAGATCAAATAGTCATAGTTAAACCATGCTCCTGCAGATCTTCGGCATATGACTAATTTTGTACTTGTGAAAAATCCTAAACGTGCAATAATACATTCAACTTTGCGTACGAATTAAAAGATTTCTGATCTTAATAACTTCAAAAAAGCTTGTATAAATTCTGAAATACTTTATTTTGAAAGGCTTTGCTTCTTATTACTTTACCCCATCTCTTTTAAGAAGAAGAAAGAGAAGAGAATAGAAACCATTTTCTGAATTTAACCCATGCTCAAGACGGTAGACCTGAAGCTAACCTTTTTTCAAACAAGCTATTTGCTAAAACATTTGTTCAGCACTAACACCAAAAATCACTGGGGATATTACTTCTACTGATATTATTATCTACATACTCATACAAACCCAGATGCTACAGAGGTGATACTACATATTGGATATACTGTTGTATACAAGTGTCACATCAACTCTTTGAATAAAAAACCCCGAACTCAGAACCAATAAAATGTCTGCATGATAAAAAATAAATTTTTCTTTAGACAGCTAAGTATTCTACCATAGAATAATGAATTTGAGCATTGCAGTGTTGTGCCAATTCACACAAACGCATACTAAGATACAAGATATATAAAATATTTGATAAAAAATTGTTTGTTTGGAAAAATCAAGTTTTAATTAAAAACAAAATTAATCTGTATTTTTATCAGTAATATAATTGACTTTCTTGTTTTTCTAAGGAAAATATGCATTACCTCTGGACTGTATGTTTATGCATGTGAGTACTCTTGTGCAGTCTGTCTATTTAGCTGCTTGTCAAGTGAAAACTTTATGGTTAGTCTGATATTCCCAATTAAGATTCAATAGAGCAGTGCAGATCCGTTATGCTGCAAGCATAGGATAGAGACAGATGTGTAACTTAAAAGATACAGGCAGTGTGCTGGACTGAATTCTAGAAGCTGGCACTGGTTTATACAGCATTTTCCATGACTAGAGCCATAACAAACAGAAAATTCTCACTACTTTGCTTCAGGTGTAAAGCACAGCACACTTGGATCCAAATACTCCATGATCATGGCTATTGGTTACCCCAAACTAGTTTTTAGCATTATTCATTAGTTATTAAGTATTCCTTTAGTAGCCCCTACATTCAGAACAGTCATATTAACAAAACTCAAGTAAACAAAACAAAACCAACAAAAAACCCTGTCCAAAGCTTCATCATTTCCAAAACAAGGTCCGTTCAGTAAGCAAGGGAATATCCATCCCTTCTTTCTCAAATGATGCAGAAGAATTTTAAAGCAATGTTATACAGCTACTGGCTTGATATGGTTCCATGCTTGATGAAGCATGTAAATGACATCAAGCAGGTGTGACTAACAGCCTCAGCAGTGCTTTCTTTGGTTATCTCTGATCCAGGCTGCACACTTTTCAACTAGTATAGTGAGGTACTGAAACTGAGGTCAAGACTGCAGAACGACATTTCCACTTAACTTGAAAATGAAGTTTACAGGACACCCTGACCTGTTGGGACTCTCACTTAGTCTGAGTTAATAGAAAGGTCATTAAATCCCTTGTACAGTTGAGCCTGAAAAAAACCCCAACACCGTCAGGTTAATGTAGATTGTCCTATCTTAAGGATGCTTCATAAGCAGTAATGGAAAAGCATTTCTATTGATAGAGAGGGTTTACTTGAACTCTTCAATAATCTTCTTTCTTAACAGCATCATCTGCCTTCACCTTCAAAATCATGTACATCTTGAGAAGCTAATTTTCCCTATTAAAGTATCAACATTTGAATTACTGCATTTCTTATTACTCTACATTGATTTTTCAGTGGTTTCCTTTCTATGGAATTTTACATGAGAAGAATAGATTATTTCTAGAAAAACTTACTGCTAATGTCTAAATGAAACATTAGATGTCTCAAAATGATAGATGCTAATGCTTTTTCTCAAATGACCAGAATTTTCATATCAACACAATTTAACAGCAAGACAGTTCCTCTTTAGGGTCCACATAATCCTACTGTTACAATTATCTTGTGAGTCCAAGCATGTACTGGCTTTTGGGAAAGGACTACCAAAGAACTGGTATCTTTTGAAAAACAGTGTAGCTGTCTGCCTTGAGAGGAGTCTGAAACCATGTTAGTTTCCTGCATAATTTGAACAGTGAACTGAAAGTCTATCCTCAGTTCCTCCCAGCTCACTGCAGGCAATATATTCTCTGCCAGTAAAACAGCAACTAAAGAAAAAGGAAGACAGAAACCAAGTAGTTGTCCTGTCCAAAACACACCTATACTACTACGATCCCAGTTTTATGGTATACTTTCACTGAAAAACTACCCTCTGCTCTAGACAAGCACATTAGCATGAAGTCATCAAATTCTAAATAGTTGGACTGAAATGCACAAAGTAGATGAGTTGGTATGATAACAGCAATGGTGCCCCCCAAAGTAGTACTTGTAATTACTAAGAAAACTTCCCTTTAAATAACAGGATCTTTAGCTATTTTATTTATTTTAAATTAACAGCATAAGAGCCAGAATAGGGAAAAAAATTCCTTCTAGGAAGTCACATAAATCCACTATTATCCTACTGGGTTGTCTACAACCACCCAATGTTAAATGTTTATGTGAAAAAATGCTCTTCTAAGAGACGCTGAGAGAACATTCATTACAGAATTCATGTTTTAATTGACTTTTCAAAAGATGTTTTTTTCTCGCTTTCTGAAATGTTCTTGATAAATTATTTTTTTAATTACTAAAGGTATTTTAGCATCATAAATCCCTAAAGATTCCAGTCACATGGAATCTACAGTTAATGAAATTATCCAAAATTTCATCCTGGAAAATTCTCATAAAATCACAGAACATCAAAGAAAAAAGACATATCTAATAAAACTGAAAAAAGTTAATATTCAGACATTTCTGTGATGAATGACTGTAAAGCATGTAGAGAGAAAAAAAAAATCTTACCTACTCCAATTCCGCATTATTCTGTTTTTAATTGAGTTTTACTTTAAGTTTATACTAATTGCTAATGTCTAAAAACCCACAAACAAGTCCTGAAAGACATGAAAACAACGCCTCTAGGAAAAGGTATTTCTTATTGCAGACATTATATCGTGGCCTCTTGCAACATAATACAGCCAAGTAAACAACAAGAAGTGGGGAAAAAGTCAACTTAAATATGAGATGAATTTGTGTATATCAGCTCAGTCATTTTCCTACTCATCTTCTGTGGCTTTAAAACTATTTTTCAGCAAACAGAATTATTTTCAGCACAGCCACTAATTCAAAAGTATGACCTTTGTGACCAAAGTGTCTTTTAGTATGCAGTATAATCTCTACTTTAGCTTTCAAAGGTTTTAAAGGAAAGTTCCAAGGTGGGTTTTCTTTTTTTTTTTTTTTTTTTTGGTTTAGGTTTTTTGTTTGTTTTTTTTAAGTAAAAGTTTTCAGCATTTTCATTATTCAAGTTAGGTATAATATAAGAGAAATATGATAATTTTGTAATGTTCTAAATATATGATAACCTTCTCTCAAAGGCTTAATCCTCAAACCAATTATGCTTTAATAGATCAAACAGAATTCATTAAATAAAAAGATTGTTTATATATTGGATGAGAACCTATTTTCCTTTTTTAAAACACAAATACTTAAGAAACCCACCACAGACATTTTCAGATGCAGTTCACATAAAATGAAAGGAAAGGATGCATCCACTTAACAAAAACACCTTTTGTTTTACCAACTAAATAGATGTTTTGCTAATATCCCTTGCTGCAGGTGAAAACCCACTTCCAATTCTGCTCTACATAACTTAGTCTAGCACCTATGATTTTGAAGATATTCTACACTGAACAGGAGAATTGACAGGATCAAAGTAAATTGAAAACTGTATCATAGCTTTTAAAACTACTTTAGACGCATTTGGCTGAAAGTAGATTAAAAAAACTACATTCA